GCAAACGGGGGTAAAGGCGTAAGTAAACTAGGTAGGGCGAGTCGGCATGCAATGTAATGCCTTTTGCTCTTTCTTGTGTCCGTCTTTCCTTTCTTTTTTTCTTGCAATCTTTTCTCAGTGATAGTGAGGGAGTGGAGGCTGGGGTTTCAGTGGGAGAGGGGCTTGCAGGATTCCGGCTGTGCTTTCAGCCAATCAGAAGTCAGAGTGTGCCGGTGGAGAGCAGGGGGAATCGCTTGACAGGTTGTGTGCCATGAGAACAGGGCTGTTCTTTTTGGTAGCTTTTTGGTGCGTGTGCGAGCACAAGACTTGTTTGTTTGTGTGTGTATGTGTGTGTGGTTTGAGTGTCTAAGTGCATGCATACACAGCCATGCGCCTTTCGGGAGGGTTGATGGTGGTGGGGGGAGGTTACGCTGCCGTTTAACATCTCAGCTGTCTCAGCAATTTCAAGCCCACACTGCCAACAGGCAGCTACAGATATCGTAAATATTAACCTCTGTGCTGTTGCACATTCGTATTTGAATGCTAATTTGGCTTTATTTTGATTAGAACAAAGCATGTCAGGAGTGATGCTGTCTGAGACATTTCATGTTTTTCATTGTGCTTTGGAATATTTTATCGGTGCAGTAAATCAATGCAAGAGTTCTGATAAGATAAGGGGTATTAGATCATTATGAATACATTTTATATTTTATTATATAAAGTTGTGCTTATAAATGTACATACCTCCCTCTGTAAAATTCATATAACCCTTGCACAATCTGTAGCATTAAAAAAGACAAATTGTTACATATAAGATTATTAGAAGCTTTATTTTTTTAAAGTACTGCCCTAAAGAAGCTGCATTAATGATAATGAAGGATATTCCACAAGACAAAATATGCAATTTACACACACACACACACACACATACACACACACACACATGTAGGTTTATTTTCTATAAAGACACAACACATTTGCTAACTAAATGTTTGAAGCCAACATACACAACTACTTCTAGAGAAAACACACATAAACATGCAAATTTGTGTAATTGGACTTCTGACTCAAAACCCTATAGTTACTGAAAGTCAGCCGTGTAACAACTACCTCCAGTCTACCCCTACTGTTGTTGTTCTTCTTGTAATATTCCTGTCCACTCCATTGCTATTCTGTTGTCTCTCACTGCTTCTCTCTCTCTCTCTCAAACCCAAAACAGTCTTTCTCTGTCTCTACATTCCTTCGATGGCACTATCTTCACTGTTTTTCCCCAGCATGCCGAGGGTGCTGCTTGTTCGGGGGTTAAGCACTCGAAGGACGACTGGCCCTGGGGACGTCATTTTCCATTACAGAGACAAGTAAACTTTTCTCTCAGATGAAGAAAAAGGGAAAAAGTCAGAGCCCTGAATTGGTTATGCTCCTTGTCGTGTTCTCTTACTCCCCCGACTCGCGATTCGTTTAGTCAATATTTAATGCCGGTGTTGTGCAGTACAGTTGTCTGTTGGCCCGATCCATGGGTTTGATCTCCATGTCTCGCCTGATCTTTCTCCAGGCTTATGGGCTTGCGCCGAGATGTGACACAGAGTCTAAAAATGTGGCACAAGCTTGTTAACGGTTACACACTTTGCTCTGATGCGGTGCAAAGAAAGAGAAGGACATCAGACAGAAGGAGGAATAAAGAAAAAAAGCCAGATCCATTACATGCATTTAGCACAACTGCTCACTTTATCTGCACACAATCATGCACATCTCACTCTGCCTGCAGCAACTAACGCCCTCTATGCCCCACCTGTGTATAGATGTCAAGCGGCGTAAAGTGTAAAGGTGGTATTTTTCTTCTTTAAGCAGGGCAGATGGGCAAGGTTTGGTCTGAGCCGGTGGCCAAGCCAGATTGTCTTAATTAGGAGCTGGCTGCTGCCAACGGCAGGTGAACACATCTGGGACGCCATATTGGCCGCAAGCGCAGCAGGTCTTGGAAATAGTGCAAGCCTTGGAATATTCGATGGGAGCAGAAACAAGTGATTCCCCTTTTTTTAACCCCCATACTACAACCCAAAAGTGAGCAGCAATACATCTACATGCCACAAAGTGTCAAGCTTCCACACTGCGTGTGCCTGCCAGATATTAAAAGTCTCTGTCTTTGGAGGTTTGCGTTCGTTTTGCGTGCTGCCAAGGCCCAAGCAGCCCCAGAGTGCTATCAATTACACACATTCTGCTGAAAAGCTGAAATTCAGCTCTGAGTGCAGTCTGACAGGATTCAGCAGTATGTGCACGTCTGTGCGATGGCTATTGGACGTTCGCGTTTCCTTTGTCCCCTGTACCTGCCCTCCGTTGCCTTTGTTTGGAAAGAAGACGACACAATCACAGCGTGTCGCACTTAAAGCACCTTATAATGAAGTTGAGTCCTCCCTTCTTTGCAGACACACACACACTATCAGGCATGTTCGCCCCACTGAGCTATACCTTCCTCATCAGTGCTTTATTCAACGTCATCATTTCTGCCTCTATAAACTCGATGGAGCTGCATGCCCCTCTCCTCCTCTCTCAAAACACTCCCTTCCAATTAACGTGCCAGTTCATTTATTCATTAACCCTGCAAGGAAAATCGAGGGAGACCTAATTAAAAAACAACCGCCCTCCATTTCTCTCCATCTGGTGGGGAGGCTCGATTCTCCAAACACGTTCAAGAGACTTAATCTGGTTAAGGTGCAGTTTAGCATCTGCAGCTGAGTTTGGTGGGGGGATTGAGGAACGGATTGCCATGCCAGTCCATTTTCATTAAAAGCACATTCCAATGACCAAACCGGTACAGGAAGTGACATGCATGGACTAATAAAAAAACAAGCGGATAAAAGGCAAGGCGCTGTTGTGCTTGATTACAGAGGCATTGACTAATTTACTTAATTTGTCAAAAAGGAATGTGGTTTGGAACTGAGGTAGAACTCATTTATAGTGATTTGAGTGGTAGCATGCTGGTGCACTTAAACGCTAAACGTGCTTTAGCTATTTGAAGCGTTGTATTTCCAAATGCCATTAGCAGAATTTCTTATCTCAAAAAATGGAGAGTAAAATTAAAGTTTGGGAAAAGTAAAAGTTGGGAAACGTAATTGCTTTGAGCCTTCCAGCTACAGCAACCAACATTCAATCTAAATTAAGTAAATATTGTAAAGCCAAATTAGGCATTGGACTATGAATGATTTACTACTTAAAATACATTCAACAAAAAAGGAATCTTTTCTACTTGTGCTGCAAAAACAAGTAGAATTTAGAATGTTTTTCTGTCAGGAATGTCACTCGTGGAGTTCTAACATAGTCTTATTCACAAGCATAACAGACAAATGGGTCAAAAAATATTTTTAAGGTTCAATTCTCGCTATTAACAAACCATTAACTACGACTTTTGCTTCAATAAACTCCTAATTTGCTGCTTATTAATAGTTAGTAAGGTAGTTGTTAAGTTTAGGTATTAGGTAGGATTAGGTACATAGAATATGGTCATGTTAATAAATGCTTTATAAGTGCTAATAAACAGCCAATATGTTAATGATAAGCATGCTAATAAGCAACTAGTTAATATTGAGAATTGGTCCCTATACTAAAGTGTTACCAACAAATGGGACTTTACTGTAATACTTGGAGAAAGCAGTCCATTTCGTGCTTAAAAACATCTTAAACCAGCCTGAGCTTATTTACTGGTCTTGCTGGACTTACTTAGCACTTTTCAGCAGGTCAGGCTGGGACATCAAATGGCTATCCAGCTAAACACCAGCTTGGCCAGGCTGGAAGGACCAGCTTGGAACACCAGGAAACCAATTAAGGCTGGTCCCAAGGCCTTTACTAACAACTATCATGACCTGTGATATGAAGGGAAGGTGGAAAGGTGCAAATATCCCAATTTACACTTTTAAGGTACATCCAAAAAACCTACTAACGGCAAAAAAATCAAATTAAATACAATGAAATGATTAGGGTTTATTTGTTGCTTGCAAAATAGTACATTTAGCAATTATACATGGCTACTTATAAATGTCTCTCAAGGTTTTTGCCCACAGAACAGAGTAGTGCACTAGCATACGAGTAAGGGCTAGAAGGGCTGTGATAACTGAGATGCAAACTAGCAGATTTAACAATCTCACATTGTCAATGAATATTTCACGTAAAGTCAAGCAATATTTCTATTCATGTGTGGGAAAGAACTGTGTGAAATGTGTGCAAGTTTGTTTTGCCATAAATTTAAGACAACCATAAAAAATAATGATCATATTGATATATGGGGAAAATCTCAACATTCTGACCAGAATCAAATGATGCTACATTCTCCCAGTAGACAACAGTTGAACTACATCCCAATTCTGAGGCTAAAGTTTTTGTTTGAAACACGTCTGCACGCTCAATTGGGAAAGCAACGAAAAACAAGTTACCCTCAGAGATTTATACTTCTGATCCTCCAAATCCTTTTTTATCTTAATCAAGTATAAGGCAGTAAAATGCTCCAGCTCTGCCTCCTCCCTGTCCTTCACTGCCTGTATGCTAATATTGTTTGACATATTTCGGAGGAAGATGGGAGTATGTTTATCAATTCCAAATAAGATCGAGGCACTGACACGCGCTAAGATTACAGTTTAATTAAAACTTGAGTAGCCAACTAATATTCAGTTCTTAAACAGACACATCATATGCCAATGCATTATCTACTCATTTAGATCTTGCATCATTGAGAAAGAAGGCAGACAGGGAAATCAGGAAGGAGAACATGACATGCGGCTGTAAGATCATCCCCATTCCCTTTCTACTGCTGTTCTCTGTGTTTGGGCGTAGCTGTCAGAGCAGAAGCTAAAATAAACCTAGCCACACTGGTCTGTATAAAAAATGGATACCTCTGGTTCAAGTCCTACCCAGCCAAAACACAACTGATGCCAAATTCCACCTGCCAGCAGGCGATCCTGAGGTGGCAAAGGGAGCAGAGAGGCAGTGCCAACCATGCCACCAATCTGGAAAACACAAAGAAGGCATCCACTTACCAGTCTTGTGACAAGGGGCACCCCGAAATGCCAGAAGTGATCGTTCAGTAGCCCACTATACACTACGTTTCCAAAGAGAGCAATGCTTCCTGTTTTACACAACCCGTTTCCTGGTTTGGTTTCTGCAGAAGGAGAAAAGAAAATTAAGAAATAGGGTTAAATAGCAATATTCAATGACTAGAAACGTCTCAGGTTACTTGTGTAACCATGGTTCCCTGAGGGGAACGAGACATAACAATAAACGAGAAATGAAGATAGGAGAGAAGAAGTTCTAAATAAACAATTAAGGTATGATTAAAAGAAAGAAAAAGAATGGAAATAGGATGCAAGAAGGGAAGGAAGAGAAGAAGGAAAAACAAAGGGAGAGAAAAAGTGAAAGAAAGAAAGAAAGAAAGAAAGAAAGAAAAAGAAAGATAGAAAGAAAAAATAAAAAATGGAGAAAGAAAGTCAGAAGAGTGGAAGGAGAAAATGAAAGGAAGGAAGGAAGGAAAAAAAACAAAACAAAAGGAAGAATGGAAAGGAGGGAGGAAGGAAAAACAAAGGAAGTATTACAGGACGGAATCAATGAAACAATGTTGGAAGGAAGGAAGGAAAAACAAAGAAAGGAAGGAAAAATTAAAAGCTATAGGAAAGAAAGAATAAAAAGCAACAGGATAAAGGAAGGAAAACAAGGAAAGGAAGGAAGGAAGGAAGGAGAAATAAAGAAGGAAGCATGGAAGGGAGAAAGAAAAACAAAGCAAGTAAGAAATAAAAGAAAAATTAAAGATTGTATGAAGGATGGAAGGAAAGAAAGAAGAGGAAAAAAGTAGGACGGAAGGAAAGGAGGATTTAAGGAACAAAGGGAAAAAAAGAAAATTAATGGAAAGAAAAAAATAAGGATGGAAGGAGTGGAAAAACAAAACAAAATGAATGATTCCAAAAGTAAAAGAAATATTTCTTTGACAATTTCAATATGTCACATCCATAAACACTCATCAGTCTGTGTGTGAGTGGCACGGTGTGAGGAGAAGAGCTTGGCATGTGATCAACAGTGGGGTCACTCCTGCTTACACAGAAAAGCAAACTAACAGCTGCATTCAACCTCCTTTGGGTAACATGCATTCACAATGATCAGTACTCACAAAGACAAAAGAAAACATGACTCTGATATCACACACAAACACACCATATACCACCAGTTCAGCTTAAAAAAATCCCCATTCCCCCAGTCTGAATGTGGACTCAGAGAACCTCGTGCGAAGATTGCGATGTGTATTAAATTATTCCCTATAAATGCCAAGTACAGCAAAAATCTGCATTATGCCTCAAAACAATAGTGAAGCGCACCACAGCAAGCCATGCATTCATTATTGAAAAACAAAAAGTAAAAAGGCCCATTAAAATGTCACTTGTGCTCTTTGTGGCTGTGGCGACACATGAATTTTAGTGTTATAAATGGGCCTTGTGTTATTGTTTATGGTGGCTGCTAGCCGCAGGCTACCCGGCGGTGACTGTAAAGTCCACGGATCACACACCATGAGCCTCCGATGCCGCTCCCTCCCCCTCTATACATCACCCCATGAATATTCATGCCACAGGGCCGTGCTCCAGCCAATCGATCACAACTGTAACGCATTTATATCCATGATACATGTAGCTGATTTTTTTGGTGTCTAGGAATAAAAAGATATGGCCTAATTAGCAATAAAACAGCCGCTTCGCCATAGATTTGGAGGCCGAACGGCACTCCTGCTCTTTTCGCAGGTGATGTAATTCATACAGTGGCGCGTTGCATCACAGGAACATGTCGTAAAGTGAGACTCGAGGCGGGGAGGGATAGCTGTCATCGCGTTTGAGGCTTCCCTGCTGTCTGTTGGCACCGGTTGAAGTTCGTTTGGCATCCGTGGGCATGTTTCTCACCACGCCTCACCTGTGATTAATTATTGACGGCGAGATGAGGATGCGGTAAAGTAAGGCTGCACTGACATGCTACACTGCAGATACATTACAACAACCCCACAGGCTGCTTCACTATCTCCCTGTCTCTTTTTCTTCCTTTTCCCTGGTTTTCCCTCATGCGCTTTGTCTTTAAAGCCCTCTTCTCACACTCTCTCTCTGACAACCTTTCCTAACTCTCTCTATCTCACTCTGCCCTGCAGTTTGGCAAATTTGACAAGAGCTTTAAAAACTGAGCGAAATGTCAAAGTTGTCATAAACAGTGTGTGAGAGGGAGTATTTTTGGTTTGATAAGGAGGCAATAACAGTTTGATTTAAGGCAGAAAAGAGTGTCATCACATCTAAATCTGCCATCAGAATATCTCTGTCCAGGGTTTGTCGGCGCGTCGCTGTGTACTCATGCAGATGAATGGAGGAGTTTAGGTTGAAACTGAGACTGCATTATCTCGCATTTCTCTACAAGGATGACAATAAGTGCCTTAAATGGTCCTTGCTTGATCCGTGGGGAAGCACCTGGCTTTGAATCTCAAGTAAGATGTGCGAGTGGAGGATTCTAGGACCAGGATAACATGATAATAAGAGAAGAAACATAAAATAGAAATCTACATTATAACACAGCTCTATAAATGTGGAAATAAATCACTTTGCAATAGCTTTAACTGAAAAACAAATGCTCATGTATGAATTGCATTAAAAAAAAACAAATGATAGACCTCTTTTTCCCAGAACCAACTTTTCAAGTTCACACAGGTATCATGGCACAGTAAACATAGGTGCGTTCTCATATTCCACAAACGTTTGTGTACAATATTGTCTTACCAATTAATTTCAATCCTTATTTGAACAATCTCAATTTTGATTGTTAAAATCCCAAGATATTTTTATTCTAGCCAGCGTTTTCTGCACCACTTTTCATTGGTGATGCAACACGCCCCACTGTTGAATATACAATCCAGAGGCAAGAGAATTCATATTTAATATGAGTTTGCAATCTGAATTGAAAGGGAAGAGATAAAAAGGATGCATACTGCAAAAAAATAATAGCAAGAAAACAAAGTTGATTTGTCCTTTGTGTAATCTGATTCACAAACAGATTGATTTTTAATTAATCAAAAATACACAGCACACTTAGTGTAGTCTGATTCATGAACAAAAGTCCTTAAATGAATACTTAAGTCACCAGTAGGTGGGGTCACGTGATTGAGTGCATCATTGAATCATTCATTCAACTGTTTTGTTCAAATCGCTGATTCATTTGGGAGTGAAACATATGACTGTCCTGCTGTATAAAAGCACTCACAATCTTGATGTATTTTTCTAAATATCAGCACAGCTATGATTATTTGTGTTGCTTGTATAAACACAATGATTTCTATAAGTTGTAAATAAAACAAAGATTTGTAGAACATTTTACAAAAAATACTTCAATCTTTCTGCTGTACTTCAAAATTTAATGTTTAATTCAATGTGTTACTTGCCATTTCTTTGTAATTTTTTGTTTCAAAGTAAATCCTATTTTTTTCCAAGGTTTGCAAAATAAATTTAATGTAAAGCTTATTTTAATCTTTAGTTTTTTGTTTTTTTGGTTGTGTTGATCTGTTAAATAAACAGCATTTTAACACCATAGTTTGGGCCCTCTTGTTCATTACGAAAATTTATATTTTAATGTACCAAATGAAAAGGTTCCATTTATAATTGACAGCAATAGCTAAAAGAGAAATGTTCATATTATCAAAATGGACATTAGAACTTAAATATAAATTAACAAAATAACAGAAAATTAATCAAATAGTGAAGATCCACTAACATTTAACAACCAGAATGTGTCCAAATATCTACATATGTATTGTGTTTTAGAATTGGAAACAATGTTTTGCTTGAGAAGTGTGCTTGCAGTATCTTTCTCTAAAACAGATGACACATGGTTTGATAGTTTGCTGTGCCCAAATATGTTTAGGAGCCACTGTATAAAAATAACTACCCACAACACTGCAAAATATATCAAAATCTTGCTCTTGTTATTGCCAAGAGAGCAACAGGGATGACATAATGTCTGCCTTCTTCCGGCTGGAAGCTTCCTCCCACAAGCCCTCTGGCTCTGGCTCTGGCAGTGGCCATCCTGTCCTGGGCCTGTGCTTCCATTAGCCACACTGACCTGGATTTGTTCTGGCATTGCTCTGATACTAGACCGGTGGACTTGGCCCTTCCTCTCAGCGGGGCAGCTCTGTCAGGACCTCTGTCCAACCCAAACACACCAGCCACACCAGCCTGTCCATATGGCAGTCCCACCCTGCCTGTTTCTGGGCCAGAGCCTGATTCACAAGGGCTGGAGAAAAAGAAGTCCTCTTTTTCCAGAGCCCTCTCCAGGGCATCACAACGCCTCTCCAAACGATGTATTCATTACCCCTCCTGTATCCCGGGGGATGCTCAAAAGCCTTGTTTCAGAGCGGGGAGTGTGGCTGTGTCTGTTTAAACACTGCTCCAGTCCTACTTAATCATGTGCAGTTGGAGGGGCAGTCCGTGCCGGCGCTCTGATTAATACAGCATGAAGCTGTGGCGGCAGACATAGCTGCAAGGGACACGAGGCATTAATAACAGTATGCTGCCACTGTTTCTGCTGCTACCTCCGCCTTCCTGAAGTCTAGAGAGACCATGAGTACAAACACACACAAATACCAACTCATAAGGTGTAATGGAGCCTTGATGCTGTAAATATCATCATGGGAACACTGGCCCAGAGATTCATCTCTGGTAATTGCATTAGAGCACGAAAATAGATTTTTTTTAATTGATGCAATTTGTCAATCTGCCTAATCATGACTAATCATTATCATTTGTGGTTCATAGGTTCACAGTAGTGGAATATCATGGTCATAATCATTATCACCAATAAAGACATGTTTTCGTAACTTACAGTGGGGTCTTAAAAATGTGGCAAAAACATTAAAGTGTGATGGAAACAAAACAAAATATACTGTATATTGACTTATATAGCCACTTTTCGTATTATGTTTTCAATGTTTTGTCTGCTAAAATAAAGTAAAGCAAGGGGCCGGGCCCACGACTTAAAATGATAAAAAAAATATATATAGTTATTTAAAAAAATTATGAATAATATTAATATATCAATAAATCTAACTTAATTAAAATGCTAAAAATATACAATGAAAATCTAAACTGAAACCAT